TTGATATGTGCTTAATTGTAAACTAAATGATGATGATAATTGAATAAAAGATGCCAACTTTTGATATATTTTATAATTAAAAAAAATATGTGAATAAACAAAGAATTATTATTTTTACTAGTATTGCCATCTATCTACATTTTGAGAACTACAATTTTCTTATTTTCATTTGGAAAATGTGGAATTCAAATTAAATAAACTTCAATAAATATGTACAGGGTGGCCCAATTGAACTGCAACTTTTCAGGACGCTTTTTGTTTTATTTGAGATTGTATCAAAAGAAAAAAATGTTGTAAAACAATTACAATTTTTTCAATTCATTTTGATATGTGCTTAATTGTAAACTAATTGATGATGATAATTGAATAAAAGATACAAACTTTTGATATATTTTATAAATAAAAAATATGTGAATAATCAAAGAATTATTTTTTTTACTAGTATTGCCATCTATCTTCATTTTGAGAACTGCAATTTTCTTATATTCATTTGGAAAATGTGGAATTCAAATTACATAAACTTCAATAAATATGTACAGGGTGGCCCAATTGAACTGCAACTTTTCAGGACACTTTTTGTTTTATTTGAGTTTGTATCAAAAGAAAAAAATGTTGGAAAACAATTACAATTTTTTCAATTCATTTTGATATGTGCTTAATTGTAAACTAAATGATGATGATAATTGAATAAAAGATGCAAACTTTTGATATATTTTATAAATAAAAAATATGTGATTTATCAAAGAATTATTTTTTTACTAGTATTGCCATCTATCTACATTTTGAGAACTACAATTTTCTTATATTCATTTGGAAAATGTGGAATTCAAATTACATAAACTTCAATAAATATGTACAGGGTGGCCCAATTGAACTGCAACTTTTCAGGACGCTTTTTGTTTTATTTGAGATTGTATCAAAAGAAAAAAATGTTGTAAAACAATTACAATTTTTTCAATTCATTTTGATATGTGCTTAATTGTAAACTAAATGATGATAATTGAATAAAAGATGACAACTTTTGATATATTTTATAATTAAAAAAATATGTGAATAAACAAAGAATTATTATTTTTACTAGTATTGCCATCTATCTACATTTTGAGAACTACAATTTTCTTATATTCATTTGAAAAATGTG